TGGTGGTCAAAGGTCAAGGTTTCTGTGACCTCACAAAACATAACTATAGAATTCATGCACTTATTATGACAAAATTTCACACAAATGTCTGAAAGGATAAAATGATCAAGCGATGACATTATATATCCAAAAGGTCAGCTCCACTGTGACATCATGATGTTCTGCAAAAACACTTTTCTTGCCATTAAACATCAGAACTTAGGAACAGAAGGGGAGACATTTAGTTGGTTACTGAATATTTGACAGTAGTTCTTGGTGCTCTCCTCGAAACTGTGCTGTGTATAGATTTTCTTTGATTTTCTTTACCTGCAACATGACTGGTTCACGGAGGCATACAACTGCAAACCGGTAATTCTATATATATTTTTTTTTTTATTTTATTTTTTTGTAGTATCAACAGAACAATCATGGCAGAGCAATGATCCCAGTTCCATAACCTCCCGAACAGCAATAAAAAGTACAGCAAAGCACAAAAGAGATGGAAAAACGAATAAATAAAGATGAGAAAGGGATATAGCAGCACAGCCACACCACAATAGGATACATCAGACGTTGTTGAGCGAGATGTATGCAGAAAGATACTACCATCATGCAGATGTGACTTTCGGATGCTGGGAAAAGATTGAACATCAACCCCCTTTTAGCATTTTCATGAACTGCTGTCAGTTTTATGGGTTGCTCTCTGCTCTCCTCGCTGCACCCTCAACTTCAAGCCACTAATGTTAGCTGCAGGGTTGTAACTGTTCTATTTACATATTTCAGTTTTATTTCGAGGAATATATTTTAGTTAATGTGATAAAAACTGGTGGTTGTGTGTGACAAAATCGTGTGGGCACAAAGAGAAACTCGCCCACACAGGATTAGGATTCAAACTGTAAGGTTTTACTAGTTTTTGCTCATGTAAAACCACATCATCATAGTCCTACTGTGTGTTATGAGTAACAGTAGTACACTGTCCAGAAAAGCTGAACTTCTGTCTCACTGTATGTACCTTGAATTTACAGGCTAGCCTTTGTCAACAGTGGCCCGTGAGCTCCGGCAGCTCTCTCTGTGCGGCCGGATGGCACAGCCTTGGCTTCCTTTATTGAGCTGTTGCTTGGATGTTGACTGTAGTGTTCAGGTGCATTTCCTTTAGCCTCAGCAGTTCCATCTCACACAGCAGGGTCAGCCTCATATAACTCAGAGACCCGCTGTGACTCCAAGGGTGAAGAAATATTTGTCCTCAATAATCGGATCCAATAAACAACGCCTCCCCCTCAGTCTTGGGAGTTTGATGAGTTTCACAAAGACAGCCAGGGACTGATTTCAAACTGCAGATGTCTGAAATGAAAGATTTCATTATCTCATCACCACTGCTTTATGGCCATGTGCCTGGTGGTGCCATTTCTGATCATAAGCCTTTTTGTCAGGCATTCTGGTCCTCATTATCTCACTCCTCTCACTTGAAAAAGGGGGATCTTTGTGTGGGAGGAGGCTGCTAGAACACTGGACTCTTAGGAGGTCACGGTGCAATCGTGCAGCTGTTACCATTTGTTTGTTGTAATGAGCAGTTTAGTGAATTAGGTGGGGGAAAAAAATCCGGACTTTATCTAAGAACCTTGTGATGTACATGTTTTTGTGTCAGTGGGCCTCAAATTATAGGTCTTATTCATTTCACAGATACCCAAGGGCCTATTTCATTGGGTAATGAATAATATGGCAGACCGGGAGGAATCTCTCACCCCATCTTCCCTCGTTGCCTGAACCTGCAATAAATTTCCAGCCAATGCCATATGGTGGCAAGTCATGTGTGGGATTCAGTATTCTGTGTTATTTATTTATTTCCCAGGTGTTGCTTTTCTATTAGTGATTTACTGTATGTGTTATTGTGTATGATCTGCTGCTGGGATCTATGACATGGAGTGTGCTGGATTTTTGGAAAACAGCCCAGGCTGAAACCAAGCCATGGATTCAGAATAATATGGCAGCACGAGTCGGCTCTATCCACGAGCATTTCAATTTTTCTTTTTCTTTTTTTTCCATTTTGGATTTACAGTAGCAAGTGAGGAATGGTCTACCAGACTCTCCTGTTAAAAAGTGATTCATGTAACAGGGGATGTAAGTGAAAGATTTCGTGACTACCAGCAAGTATTTAGCAAGGAATTATTCAGCTATATCCAGTGCGTATGCTTTGCTTGAAGCTGTTGCTGTCATTTGGAGTTTCTGATTACATAAGGACGTAAGCAGGGAAAATTATTTTTGGTCTTCTGAATTTCTTGTTATGAAGAAACTAAAATAACAAGCTGGGCTGGTGTTTGCTGGGGTTGTGGTTATTTCTTCATCCATAACCCAGATTTTAAACCTCGATTGGGTTTACCTCTTGATCAACCCTGTCTCCTAAAAATTACATCTGTGTACTGATAATTTGCAAGACAGAAAGAAACAGAATGCCGCCCAACTTTTGTTTATTTTATCAACGTGATGAGCAAAATAATCACTAGCAACATTTTTGCCTTGCAATCACTTTCTTATGATATTTGCCTCTGATAAATAAAGTAGGACAGGTCAAAACCAAAACCAAGCCAATGTGTTTTCTATCTCTTTTTTTTTTTTTTTTTGTGAGACTTTTTTTCTTGATCATAGTATTGCAAGTACTATAAATGATTATTCTGAATAAAGTGTCACAACTAGATGATCGTTTTAGAGGATGGGTGTAAAATGTTTCTGAAAATGTTTTATTGTTACCCAATGGCATATCTAATACTAATTCAAACCTAATCTTGAATTTGAATCTACACTCAACTCTGATATAATATTATGGTGCCTGTTGAAGGGTGAAATGTGTTTCTTTTTTATGCCTCTCTTTGTGGTTGGAACATTTTTTATTAGCATTTTAGGGGTTGTCATAAAACCATAAAGTGACGCAATTTATTCCAATCTATTTGATATAATTGAAACCCATATGGAAAATTCAACATTGTATCACACAGCCATGACATAGGTGATAGGGGCATATTAAATATTAAACGTATTATCTGACAGAGATCACATGTGCTTGCTTTATGAATATATATTTTTGCCAGCTTCAGTCAGGTGTCTACGGGATGGTTCTGTTAATTGTTGGACATCATCTGGACAGGGATCTCAAGACTGCATTGTAGGTATATGATAAGTGGTGCCGCATGCCACCCCCTCTGTTTAACAAAGGTTGTTCCATTTTGACGTAGTGTATATCTTGGCAAGTCTAGCTTTACTAGTCAGAGCCAGTGAGTCTCTAACGTGGCTGTCAATCAAGTCAGTCACCACTTGTCAAACTAGTCTGTGCTGATCAAACATGAATTAAGATTCTGTTACTGCATTGCCTATTTCTCGACTCAGTTTTCAGAAACATGTTTTAGTTTACTGTTTAGGCAGGCATCAAAGTGGCTTGCAGAGGAAGCAGCAACAGTAGGAAGGCTAGGGCAGTTTAAATAGAATGAATGAGATTTGCTAATTGGTTGAATAGAAAGAAATCATGTGATCTGCTGGCTGATCCATCATTTGACTGGGCTGTTTGAGATCAGCTAATGTAGCTGGGATGTGAGCTGATTTTGACATCTTGTCCTGCCTGAACTAACGGTATGCTCAATTTTATAGCTAAACAGAACCCTAAAATATGTTTCTAAAAGCATTTGAGGTGAGATCTGAGGTGATGCAGGAACAGAATCAATGCTGCCTAGTTTGACAGTTTGACAGCAGTTCAATAACAGTGATTGACATGATTGACAGCTGTGTTAGACACTGCTTGGCTCTGATTGGTTGTTTTCCTTAAGCCATAGTGGATTCTAGCCAATGCCTTTAGGAGCATTATGAGGAGGAGGACCGTGATTTTTTTGTCACAGACTATCTTGTGTACTAATGTGTGAATACAGTGACAGTTTCAGCAAATATGACACAAAGTTATGTCTATAAAAATCACAGACTACAGCTTTAAAGCACTGCTCCCTGCTATCTGGGAGAGAGAGGGGTAAATGGGGCCTTTATTGTCTATTACTGTATAAACAATTAGAAGACTCAAGGGGTCATCAAAGTAATCAAATTTATGGGCTTTAGGGGAAATTTAGGGCCTTGAGGCTCTTTTATTAGCAGGGTAACTCATTTAGATACACTTCATCTCAGACACTTCCCAGAAGAGTTGTTGCTGTCCTTGAGTCAGTAAACAAGGATGTTAGATTAAATGAAAAATAGATTTTTTTTTCCAGGTTTTGGATTTGTGTCAGGTGGTGAAAGGGAACATGTGGTTACTCATAGCTCTTATCTCTCTGTGTGTCGATTAAAGGAAATTAAGTTGTCAAATATGTGAACCCACCAGATGCCAAATTTGGTTGGTCATACAGTATATTAGCCAACTCTTGAGCTTTCTTTCCCTCTGAGTCACTTCCTTTGTGGACCAGGTCCTTTTAAACTTGTCTATTTGTGCTCAGACCTTCTTTGTGCCCAGTTCTTCAATTCTTCAATGATTACAGTATGCAATTCACATATAAAAGAAAACCTTTTTTATGGCTACAGTTCGTGCAAATATGCCCACAAGTTGTATTTGCTTCCATGGAAGCTCAGTAATAAATGACAAGAACGCCTCTGCAGTGCCATTCAATAGAGCTGAGTTCTGCAAAGAGAAAAACAGAATTTGACGAATGTACCCTGAAGAATTTTTCTGTTGATAATTGGATGGACTACATGGATATTTAAATGGAGATGCAGGGGCATACCTCTGGTCAAAAGACCTATCTCTGTACAACGAGCCTTCACTAAATTAATTGATTGAAAGGAATAGAAGTTATTTTTTTCTTCTTTTATTCATCCAGCGACTGTGCTGAGTAGATATTAGTTCTCTCCCCTATTGCTCTACCCTTTAGCTTTAACGATGGTGCTTTTAATCCAGTTTAAAACACCTCTTTCTCCCAAGGGTGCCAATAAAGAGTGAATTCTCTCAGCCAGTGGCAGACATTTAATAGTGAAATCTCACTCTCATTCTCTCACAGACAAAGCTACGATGGGCTGGAAAAGAAGCTGAAGGAAGTCTTCACTGAACGGAGCAGCATCCTGCACCAGCTCTCCAAGACATCAAAGGAGCTGGACAGCATAAAAGGCAACCTTCAGGTTGGAAGTTTACTGTTTCTTTTTGAAAGATACTGCAATGTTAGAAGGCTAAGTTGGCCGTGAGTTCTGGGCCGGAGGTAATTTTCTGTCTTCTATTTTCAGCCATCTGACGACCGGGCAAGCCGTGACGCTTCTCGCTTATTTTTCAATCAATCTGTTGTTTTGCAACTCGCTGTTATTAAATATTAATGCGCAAATGTTTTTTCCATTTGGTGAGCCCACCCATTGTTATGTATGTGATGTGTTACTGGAAATGCAGCTGCTGAATAAGCAATGCAGAGATGAAAAAGCAGATCAATTAGTAAGTGAACTTTTGCAGTACTGATGACGACAGCAGCTACACAGAGCCTGACGTTAGAAAGAGATAAAACAGGAGAGATTGACAGGACCATCAGTTCAAAAAAAATTAAACACTGCTCCATCTAATTTTCAATTAACTGTAATCATCTATACTCTGCTTCAAGGAAAACTACAGTTAATTACAGCTTGGTTTGTATTTTTAAAGCTCCGGCCCTCGGTTATATAAGTCACGATAACACCAAAGTAATTGTGAAATTCTGGGAACACACAACATCACCAAAATTAGGTTTAATTGGTTCACAAACCAGAGCAATTAGATGATCACACAGGTGAAAAATAGAAAGGTTATTGGTAAAATTACAGCCTCAAACTGTCTGTTACAAACAACCATCACAGTTTACAGACCAACTTCCTGGTTTAACTTATGATATCATAGCTTGGGAACAAGACGAATCAGCAGGCTCATGTTTCATTTGCTTTGGCAGATGCTTGTAGTCCTCCTTCCGTTCAGACAGATATCCAGCCGGTCTGCCAATCACACCTGACATGGGGCAGGTTTGATACATTGACTGACAGAGAGGTGTCACCAGTCCAGATTTGGAAAGTCACACAGTCTGCTCTGTCCAGCACAGTGCAGCAGGCTCAGGAAACTCAAATGAACCTGTCAAACCAGGCAGTGCTGATCAAATATGAATCAAGATTTTGTAACTGCGCTGCCTATTTACCACCTCAAAGGTTTTCAGAAACATATTTTAGTGTACTAATTAGCTGTAAAATGATAAAGTTTGAGACCCAACCTCCATTTTTTCCCTGCTTGTAAATAGACCAAGCACCACCCCAACTTCCACGTGTCACTCAGCGCTATGTCGCACGTGTCTTTGCTCTCATTGGTTGTAAGTTAATCCAGTTGTGTCTGGAGGCATTTTGATCTGTGTACACCACCTGGAAAATCAAAAATGAACTGAGAGGTGGCAATGCCAGACGCATTACGGGTCCGCTCACTTTCAGTATCACATCTGTAAACTGTTAAAGGTATACTACGCAGCACTGTTGGCTACTGTTTGTAAAAATGCTCTCTAACAAAAGTGAATGTAAAAGCCAACCTCAGATTGAGTCTCGTTTGGTGTTTCACTTTGCTATATTTGCATTTTTTTTTTTATTCTACATCTCTTGGATGCCTGCTGCTTAAGGTCTGACACCAGGGGCCACATGCTTAAAACTCTGCGTAGATTCAGGACTAAAAGTGTTTCTATGCACAAAGGTGGAAATATGCATTCGCATTCTTTTTGTCAGACTTAAAAAGCTGTTTGTACACTTACAAATCTTGATCATTATGGTGCTGCGTGCATGTGCACAAGCCTCACTCCCACGCCCACAGTTTGCCATAAAGAGATGTAGAAATGCCCTTAAACACAATTTGCATATCGATATGTGTGCCCCTGTACCACTCATTAGACCTGTCAATAAGAAACATGGGAAAGAAAGTGCAGGAGCAGCTGTCATCACATACAGCTGTGGATATTTGTAGCATCCGTACCACTAATTCATCACGTTTCTGCAAACCATCACCACGGTAAGATTTCAATCATCAATATTATTAAATGTCACAAGGATGATCAATGATTAATTCACAGCGCTGATGTTGAAGCTGACTTTACAAAATGCTTCACATGAAAATATTAAATGATCAACAACAGGGATATGAGTGTAAATTAAAGTAATGATGAGTTCATCTTTCATAAATAATTTAAAATTAACTTCATAAATGTGCCTTTGAGTGACATTTTACAGAACACTGTGAAGCCTGAAAAAATAACACAATCAGTGAAATTGATAAACAACCTAAGACATTATTATGCTCTCTCAATTTATATTTAATCTCTTCCTTATCATTTTATCCGCAGCTATCTCAGTGGTTAACATTGTCGCCTCACAGCAAGAGGGTTCTTGGTTCAAACCCTGAGGCGGCCCTTCTGTGCCGAGTTTGCATGTTCTCCCCGTGTCATTGTGGGTTTTCTCTGGGTGCTCCAGCTTCCTCCCACAGTCCAAAGACATGCAGGTTAATAGGTGACTCTAAATTGCCCGTAGGTGTGAATGTGAGTGTGAATGGTTGTCTGTCTCTATGTGTCAGCCCTGTGATCTGTCCAGGGTGAACCCCGCCTCTTGCCCAGTGTCAGCTGGGATAGACTCCAGCCCCCTGCGACCCCCAACAGAATGAGCTGTCACCGAAAATAAATGAATTCTTCCTTTTTAAATACTGGTTGTTATGAGGGAAAAGGCGTGTGCATGATTTTTTTGTGCATACACGTCGTTTCCCCTGGTTGCTGCCTTTTTATATACCTCAACCTCAGCTGAGCGCTGCAAGGGTACATGCCTATAAACGTCCCGACAGAAAATAAGAAGAGAATAAGAAAATAAAAGCAAATAGCAGAGTCCCGCAGGAAATACACCGCCACACACTTCTAGTGGGTCGTAAGTGATGACTGAGAGGGATCACTTCTGGATGAGTCTATACATTTTTTTATTTTTTTTTAAGGAAAATCCTCCATAGTAAAGCTTTAACTTCTTTACAACCAATAAGGTGGTCTAACCATCAGTGCTCTCGCCCTGTTTGACCTCTCTTTAGTGACACAAAGTAAACAGTGTTACAACACGATGGACACTCACATTGTAATACACTGCTGTTTTCTTTAATTGTGTCCCTTATTAATTAATGGCACAAAACCAGAATGTAAACAAACTTGTGGCTCCCATGCAACGCCTGTGCAGGGTTTTTTTTTTTTAATTAACAATGCTATTAGGGATGGGTCACGATTTTCGATTTTCGAATAGTCGTTTTATTTTTGAAAAATCGATTTTTTAATGCGACTATTACTATTCGCCATCTTATTTCCCCCCCTTTATTTGACATGCAATTCAGCTCCTAACCGCACGAGGGCAGTCTAGGATTGCTACAGCGGTGTGAGATGCTCTTCTACATTATTATTATTCGAAAAATTGTCAAATACTTGCCACGATTTTCGAATAGTGTTTTTGCTTGTGTTGCCCATCCCTAAATGCTATGTATTGTCATTTGAAGACCCCTCTGTATACACCCAATCTCCATTTTACATGCCTATGTGTGCCGGAAACTTTTAAAGATTTTTGTCCTAACTAAATCTGGCCTGAAAACAAAGATGCAAAAATGTTTACCCCAACTCCAACAGCCGGGGTGATTTTGCATAATGTAAGACTAAAACAAAAAATAAAAAAGAGGGCCTTAAAACAAGTTTAGGTGGATGATAATGAGGGTTATTATCCCGATTGCAAAGGAAGGTATCTGCTGGATCCGCCAAAAACTGGTCCTGGACATTTATTTCGAGTAATGTACCATATTATATTTTAGATATTATAATTCTGTGAGCATTTCTCAAAAACACAATTATCTCAGTGCCAGGTACTGCACATTACTTCCCACCAGTCAGTTTAGGTCAACTTCATTATGGCTCTTGGCAATGACAAGAAATGAACAGAAACTCAATTATACATTCAGATATTTGAATCATTTAGTATTTTTCAGTCACATTAGCGTATGCAACAATGATCTTGCAAAACATGCCTCCCTCTTGGACATTTAGACCTTGGGTGCCAGATGCCCTGCGTTTCTGTGCAGCGCTCCCAAAGCTGCCGTCTGAGTGATGGCTTCTCCTTTGCAGGGTGTTGATGTTTTTGGGCTTCAGGCAACTTTTTGCGAGCCAATAGAATTGTCAGGAAATCAATAATCAAAAAAGTGGTACTCACATCTTCCCCTGCATTTGTTTATGGTTGCGAGGGATGTCTCATGTGTCCTGAAAAAGCATGCAGACTGGCTTTCATCGTCCCCGGGGCAGACTTTGATGTCTATTCACTCCAGGCTAGCTAGGTTGGCATCTATTTTGGCCCTGGGCCCTGTGCCAGCATGCTGGGCAGGGCAGAGGTTGGGTTAGATTTGGAATAGTGTGCTGTGGAACAAATCCATTCTGCAGGGGGGAAAACATCATCTGCATAAAAATAAATTAACTTTTTAAAGGGAATCAAGTCAACAGGGAGAGGCAGTAAGTATTTTTGGAAAGATTTGATGGAGTAAGTGTTTATAGTTTTAACGAGTTGCCCATAGGTGGAGGTCAGCAACCCTCATAATTAAACTTGTGTGATGAGGAATTTATTCTTGGCAGCAGCTCCTGGGTGAGATCATATGAAGCAGCTAGTGCAAGAATAGTTATTTTGCCTTGTACCTATCTGTGGGCTTTGGCAACAATGTGGATTGTACTTTGAGAAATAACAGCATGAAACATCTGTGCATAAGTTAAAAGAAGCTATTTTGTACCTTGATTGATCGTTTAAAGGTTTGTAGACCCGTCTTCAGTGATCTCATGCAGTGTGCATACTTCATACTTATTAATAATAATAAAGTAGTATAATAATATCACTGTGATATATGTGAAGGACAGTCACCTATGTTAATCATTAGTTTGAAATAAAAATATAGGATCTGTAAATTACCACCATCCTCACTTTCATACTATATAACCACAGACGCCTCTACAGTGCATTTTACAGTGCATAACGCTGGGCCAAGTTTGGTGTGAAATTATATGGGTTGCTTTATGGAACAAAGTAATTGAGTTGGAGTGGAGAATGAAGTCACAAAAATCTCCCATCTCTTCAAACCTTACTGAAGACTTTGTTATTTAGCACCACTATTTTTATCCACTACATGTTTGAAGGCACTTGGAGCTCACTAGAATGACAGGATTTTCAAGATACTCTTCACTTTATCAAAATAATTACTATTATAACCATAAAACAAACAGATAAGAACAAAAATAAAAGGATAGATGCTCATTAGTGTGATAGATTTTATATTTCAAGCATGCGTCAACTTCAAGTTGAATTTCATGATACTCTGATTAATGGAAACCCTCAATCATCTTGTTGAATTTTAATTTATTTTTATCTACCCAGAGAAACCTCATGAGATAAAAAATCTCTTCCAAGAGTGTCCTGACCGACATAAGTTACAGACAGATAACATAGAACAAAAATACAGAATAAAAATGTAAAGCTCTACAGCAAACAATATAAAACACAGAATAAGATTACTACAAAGAAACTTCAAAAGGTATGTTAATATATACTAGAAATGAACCATAAAAACGCAAAAACTGGCAACTGCACATGATTACTAAGACTAGCTAAAATGCACCCTGACATTGGCATAGAGATGATTGCAGGCAGAAATCCTACAGCAGAGCTTTGAAATGGCAGAGAGGAACCAATAACAGCAACTTAAAATCCTTCTGCAGAAGATTCCACATATAAGGAGCTGCATACAGAAATGCTGGCCTGCCAAACTCTGTACGTACCCTCAGTATAGACAATAAAAACATGTTCTGTGAACAGAGCGCATAGCCATTTTCAGTTTTTTGCTTAATGTACACATATAAGTATGTTGAATGCATGTCTTTAACCACTAATCTAATGGTTTGATTTGGAAAATGGCCTTTTATGTTAATCAAAATGATGCCATGAGCTGATAGTCTAGAGTGCCCCTAGTTTTACGGCACTGTTCAGTTGTACAGGACATCAGCTGATAGGCTAAAATATCGCTCAGTACGCTGCTACTAGCTTCCCTTCGGCTAATGTGTAGGTCACGGTTATGAGTTGCCTTCATAAGTTTATGATGGTAATAAAATGATACCTCTGTGGTCTGAACCAAGACGGCAGACTCTTGTTTTTTCCCACATTGTCATCGGCAGCGCTTTACAGCTTCGCTCCTTCTGTCCTTACCTTTCACAATAAAAGACCTCGACATATACACTGCATCACTGCTTATTATGGGGAACCTATTCACACACTGAGGCTGTGGTGATAGCTTGGTAAATATATGAGAATAAATTTGCTTGAAATTTTGCTCTGGCCTGTTTTTAAGCTTGTATTCAACATAGCACCTTATTATTTCAATGAAATGTACTGAAACGAATGTAAATGTGATACAAAAAGGAAATTTCAAATTTTGGTCAGTAAAAAATATGCTGGATTTTTTCATCTATCAGTCCTCATGGCCAGTTAGTCAAAAAGTTAATTTTGGATGCTGAATGTAATGTAAGGAGTAATATAAGTAGTCAAGTGATATAAAGTATAACACAAGCATTGTATGATACACATACTAGCACAGTATGCTGTATTTAAAATAACCCAGTTCAATTTGGTTTCACACAAGAAATGAACGGCAGTCTTCTGGCTGAAAGTCAAGAGTTTGGTTGACCCCTCAATATCCACTCCCGCCTACCCTGCGCATACTTTTAGGGCTGACCCAAAAAATTTGAAGCTTCGCTCGATGGCATGGGATTCGATTGTGGAAAAAAAAAAATCGAAGCTTCAGCACTTTTTTTTCCCCGTTTTTTGGGGGGAGGCCTTAAACGCAACACTAACCCCCACCAGTCCGATACTGACAACGAGCGCACTCAGAGCTGGCAGACATGTCCAAGAGGTCATCAGATGTGTGGTTGCACTTAAAAATATGCCCCGACAACCCCCAGAAAGCAGAGTGCCAGATTTGCCAAAAGCAATTGGCATATCACAACTCAACAACAAATTTGGGAAATCACTTGAAAAATGTAAGAAGTAACTAGTAGGCCTAATATGCATTTTCCAGTTCCACTGGTCCGCTCTGAGTCTGGTGTCAGAGACACTTCTGATGCTCTGAGTTGCACATCTGTTTGATTGTGCTGCAGTGTGCGCTGAGGGTTTTTATTTAGTGTTCAATCAAAAGTCGTTGAATGCTTCGAATTAAATTCGTTCTGAGCTCCGAAGCTTCGAATGTCCATAAATGGATTTGAAGGTCAGCCCTACATACTTTCTCGCTTATTATACTATGGCAATTGCTTGGAGCGTCAAAGAATGACGCCACCCAGTGCGTCTCATACTGTGGCTAAAGAGCACCTCAGTACATCAGGATATAACGCTGAGGCCCACTGACCAAACATCAATATTTGATGAGTGGGGAGTGAGACTGGGTTGAATTAATTACAGTAACAGTGACACATAGGTAACCAATTTTACGGTAATAATCTGTCGAAATACCTAAAGTAATTGCCATGTTGCTATCAGTCAGCTGCACCCTCAGCTCCAGATGGATGTTTTATCAAATGTTCTCTGCATATTTTGTCAGTCTGCCATGTGATACAGTAATGGGATCAGGCAGAAGCTGCTGAGTGTCCACACGGCCGGCTCAGGCACTAATGATTGTTTTTGTTCTTACCTACCATGTATCCGATTTTAGTTCATTTTTCACTCATACCTGTGCCTCTGAATTTATATAAATGTATTTGTACCCATTGTAAGACTCTGGTTTGAAGATTTCTAGCATGTAAACGTTAAACTGGACGTGCATCCTAACTGTAAACCTTTTTTATTTTTGTGACAGTTTTCAGAAGACAAAATAAGGCTTGTAAAAATCTGGCCTGAGCTTTTATCATTCTATTTTGCAGACAGTGATGCATTAGGGGAGTAGAAAAGTGATCATTAGACACATGGCTCCATGACAGATGATACAAATAATTGAATTCAAGGTGATATCACTCCAAAGAGAATGCAAGGAATTGATGTAATTTTGTGAATAATACACAATTCCAGACTCTTTTATTTTTCAACAGCACAGTTTTATCTTAGCTTAAGCTCATCTGTAATGAATATACTGTTGTCAGGCCCTTTATCTATCCTTGCTCTTCAACATTAATGTACATGACATGAATTCAAGGACTGGCAAGGGGGAGAAACATCTCCTCTGTGACAGGAGGAGACGGGTTTATGGAAATGTGGAGTTAATTGCCACAGATATCACCTTCAAGCACAATTTAAAAAGAAGCTTTCTCCCCCTTTGAGTCCACATTTTCTTAGAAGTCTGGAAAATTTCTCTTCAGCTCATAACAAATAAAAAATATCTCGGATGGCTTGTAGGGCAATCAGAGATCTGACTAATCCATAATTACCCATCAGGCAGGTGCTTTGGCGCTGGCGAAACCCAATCTGTACCCTCGTTAGAATCTTTAGAAGACATTCATCACCTGATTCTTGGAGGCTTTATCGTTTTTTGGGGGCATCAACACCATTTTACATCTGCTGCATCATTCAGTAATATTCACCTCAATAATTTTATGTGGTGATGCTTATTACATTGCATTTCAGTATCTTCCATTTTGTGACTCGCACAGTCAAAACTGAAGCCTTTGACTGTTGCTGGAAAAAATTTGCAACCTTGAAAAACTATTTGCTTTGAAATAATTCTCATTTCGAGTGTCTCCTGTTCTCTTTCAGTCGCTGAAAAATGATGACTCAGTGGCCAAGAAGGATGTGCAGAGGATTCTGGAGCTCAGCCACAAACAGAGGTAAAGTGAGGCATTTTGGATGACTTAGACATGATTTACCAACAGTGCTGTGCTGCTCACATGTCACTAAAAAATGTAAGTTCGAAATTTATGATAACCAGAATCAGTAATGGCTGATAAATTAAATAGGAGAACATGTGATGTTTACAATCATCAACATAAAGTAAGTGTTATGTCAGCATTAAATTGTACATAATACATATGAAAATTGTGATTTAGATCTTTCTCTATGTAGCTGAAAAAGATACATAGTCCAAGTTCCATTCATTTTTGCCATGGACAGTGTGGCATGACTCAAACCAGCAGCTCTTCCACAGCTTGGATGGCCATGAAACTCCCGGTTACATCATCAGTACACAAGAATAACAACTGTGTCAAAAATATCTGAATCTTTGATAAAAAGTCAAAACTAAAAGCCTGGATACATCAAACCTCAGGGTAGGCGCTAACTGCAACTTCCGGCATTGCATTTCGCCAGGAAATATCCTATCACAGAGCTTAAAGGGACAGTTCATCCCAAACTCAAAAATACCCATTTTTCCTCGTCTGTTTTGTTTTGGTGATTTGCGGAGCGTCTAGGATATCGGCCATAGAGATGTTTGCCTTTTCTCCAGTATAGTGGATCTAAATGGCACGTGGCTTGTGGTAATCAAAGGCACAAAAAATATATTTGAAAAAATCAACAGCAATGTCTCTTTCCAGAAATGATTACCTGGTCATTGAAGATAATCCACAGATGTTGTGAATAGTTTCAGGTAGAACTTTTTTCTCTCTACTGAGCTAAACCTGCCAACTATATCACCGTGCAGAAGGAAGTGTGCATCTGCTCATGGACAAGAGGCTTGTGCTCATGTCAGCATGAGATGTAGACATTGATGGTGTTCTCTTCCACTGAGCCGTAACATGAGGTGAGCGAGCAGTAGGTGAACGCTTCCTTCTGCACAGTGATTTGGTTGGCGGGTGTAGTTGACTAGCAAGAAAATAGTTCCTACATGAAGCTGCTCACAACAAGGTCTGTGGATTATCTCGAGTAACTAGGTCATGATTTCTGGAAGGAGACGTTGCTGCTGAGTTTTATCTAGTTCCATTATATTGGAGAGAAGGCAGACATCTCTACAACCGATATCTCCAACACTTGGGAACTCACATCAAACAATCTAGATTGGTTAATACCACTACTAGTAAGACCTCTACAAGAATCTCCACCTTGACGTGGTGGATGGATTTGCATGTCTCAGTGATCCTGGGAGCTGTGTTGTGTTGTCCGGGGTTAATCGTCCCTGGTAGGGTCTCCCAAGGCAAAGTGGTCCCAGGTGAGGTGCCAGACTAAGAGCGGTTCCATGACACGGTGCAATCGGGACCTGGAATACCTTGCAAGGTATGGGGACACGAGGGCCCCCCTCTGGAGCCAGACCTGGGGGAAGAGCTCGCCAGTGAGCGTCTGGTGGCCAGGCCTTGGGCCATGGGGTCTGGTCAGGTTTAGCCCAAATGAGTGACATGGAGCCACTGCCCTGTGGGCCCACCACCCACAGGGACTGGCATCGGGGCTGGCATTGTGTGCAAGGCGGTGGGCAAGGGCAGGGACCCGGGGCTGTAAAGCATTGCTGGAGGGAGGGGTATGTGAAATACTTTGCTCAGCCTGCTCCCCTGGTTACCCTGCTTCGGATAAGCAGTTGAAAATGGGTGGAGTACATGTAAAATTTGTAGCTCTGATTTTGCGGTGAACTGTCCCTTTAAAATTCTGTAACGGCAAAAATGTTTTGCTGAACCAGGAACCCAGTTTGTTCAGGCCCTCTCCCTTGATCAGTGGGCTATCCTGACCCTAACCATTCAAGGTCAATGCCTGATCCCAACCATCTACGCACATGTGTAGAACAAATTGGGTTTCCCGTACACATCTGGCAGCAACAGCCCTGTTTGCTTTTACATGGCAGTACAGACAGGAGGAGGTGGGTAATGCATAATCCAATCATAAATCCATCCTTATTGTATATTCGAAAATAATGCGCCTGTCTCCTTCCTGTAAAAAAGCCCATCTAGCATCTGTGATTTAGTGCTTTATCTTTTTGCAAGCGAGCTGGAAAAGTGTTTACCTAAAGTGCTTTACCAGTTAGGATTGTCTGATTAATGCTGTGTGTAATGAGACTTTTAATGATTAGGAGTCATTTGTGGCCTTCATGCCCTCTGAAATGTCAGCCTGATTGAAGTCCAGCCTTCTGTGTGCAGTATCTTGATAGCCAATCAATAGCCTATCACCAGTCCGTGGCAGCTCTCACATGTCATCAAGCTAAAAACCATAAAGCAGCAGCTTGGCTCAATGTTGCCTACCTAGCATTTGTGAGCTGCAGTTTTTTCAAAGTGTTATTAATCCAACTTTGGAGTTCCATACCTGCCAAGTGTGATTACTGGCTGACTCCATCATGGTGGGTGCAGACAGGTGATTCATTGAAAGTCATTTATTTTTGACAACTCTTAACAGCGATTTGATTGCTTTCTGAAAATAATTTTGCCACAAACTGTAATGCAACAAAAATGTTTGCCAGCAGACCAGATACAGACGGTAAAACTGTAACATTTTAAGATTTTAAAATAGTAACAATTAATTCAGCTGTGATTCAACCTGCTGTCATCCTGTTTGTACTCACCCAGCAGTTTTGTTTGGGATAAAAAAAAGTTCTGTCTTATCTTATCATATGCTCACCACTGTGTTTTCAAGGTATGTCAATCTTGCATTTACTGTGCCACTTTCTGTCAGTCTGAGCAGTTTTGATCTTGTTTGTACAAAGTGTTTCCCAGTCTTGGATGCAGGAGATGAGAATATAAATGAAATGCCGAGGCAGTGGTGGTTGGCTGGTCGCTGTGAAAAATGTTTGCTAGACTGAACTTATGCCAAGAGACAAGACCAATGGCATATAAAATATAAGAGTATGCGGCTATTGAGCAGTGAAATGTTTTCAGCACAAACACTGGCCGCTTGACTACGACCACGTCAGATACTTTTAAACTTACAGCCATGCACAGCAACTGTAAACAGACTGTTACCTAATTTATCTGGGCTGCCTTGTGATGTGATTTCTACAAGCGTTTTTGGAACCACTGACCCACATCACTTGCCCACTTGATTCATAATTCAGTGTGCATTGCTGTTATCTGCGCGCAAGAGCATCAAACGGTACTGAAATACCCATTGCATACCAATGCATTAACATTTATGTTAAACGCATAAAGAATGCAGCACCAGTCTTCATACAGCATGCATAAAATCTGTGCGGAGCGTTCCAAATGCCCACAAGTTACTACATAATACCACATAATGAATACCTCACTGTTTTCATTATACAGCTCCTCATTGACCCACAATCTGTAACCTTTTCCATTTATGATATTTGCCTTAGCGTGCATTTGTTAAACTGTACATTATCTTCAGAATAAGCAGCCGTACATCTGAAGAAAAAATTGGCTGCAGTTGGACCGTGAAATTCAAACAGAGAAACATTAAATATGAATGAATAATTGTCATATTGTTAACAGAAAATTTACTGAAGAAAATCCAAATGTTTTGACACCAGAGAATAAAAAATGTGACAAAAGTCAGTCAGGGTAAATGTGTGAATGCATGGCTATATGTTTTCTTTTTATGCACATAGCACTGGTGCTACAGAGGTTATATATTTTGTAGCACAAGCCACAAATTTATAGCTCGAGTATAAAAGTATCAAGTAAGTCCATTGTAGTTTAAGACTATTCAAATTCACCTACTGAAAAAATTGTAGACTTTTATTTACTTTAAATATCTTTATTTATTTATTTTATTTATTATTATTAGTAGTATCATTATTATTATTATTATTTATGCACATAGCATGGACAAGGGAAGCAAGGGTGCTGAGGTGAGTGCGGCACCTCCTAAACCAGGCAACATTAGGGCTATTACAAAGTCCATCAATATATATAGTTTAAAACTTGGTGTTAAAGGGATAGTTCAGATTTTTGAATGGTCAGTATATAACATACAGTAGTTGTCAGTCGGCACGCCCCAAGGAGTCTGACACAGATGCTAAGCAATGTACTGCTGTGGAGGTCATATAGTTATATATACCCACCCCAGTCTACGCTATATTGAGAGCACTGATATCATGCTTTTCTCTTCTGACCACTCTTATACACTACATGTCACATTCACACACTGGTGGCCGAGGCTACCATACAAGGTGCCACCTGCTACTCAGTAACCATTCACTCCCATTCACACACCAATGGAACAGCCATCGGGAGCAATTTGGGGTTCAGTGTCTTGGCCAAGGATACTTTGACATGTGGACTGGAGGAGCCAGGGATCGAACCACTGATCTTTCGATTTGTGGACCACCCGTTGTACCTCTGAGCCACAGCCGCCCCTGCTGTGGGTCAGTCAGAGAAGCCTGAACAGCTTCACTTTCCCATCTGTGTTTTCGTCAAAGGCACCAGACTCCATAGAGAATTCAGCGATTTAACACTGCTGAACACAGGAGCTGCTGGTCTGCTGCTGCTTTGATCAGTTAGTTAGTTTTTGTTTTTGTGTGACTTTGGTAAATCCAAACTAACCTTTTTAAATGCTAACATCACACAATAACACAAACAAACAAACTGATGGAGGCAGCAGTAGACCAGCAGCTCCTGTGTTCAGCAGTGTTAAATCGCTGAATTCTCTATGGAGTCTGGCTTTGAAGAGTGAGATATAACGGTTTCATTCTCCCACTGGAAATCACCATCTGATATTAAGGTAAAGCAGTGAAAATATTTTGAATATAGCATACACTTACACTGACATTTATTTATTTTTTTTTTATTTAGGTGGGACTTTTCTAAGTTGGTTAAAACCCCCTCTCAAAGCAGTAGATTGCTTAGACTCCCGCCTGCTTCTCCAAACTGTAAGGTTAAACCTAACATCTTATTAGTGAAGTGTATGAGCTACACTGCAGAATGGATTCTCTTTACGGAGACAGAGTGACAGCCGACTCATATGAACAAATTCAACACGGGTTGAATTGCCCATTGCATCCACAGGTCTGTGTTATATCCTGTGCGGCTGTATCGTCACAGCATTACAGTTCTATAAACACATCTATCGCCTGCATCCATGTGCTGTCTCGTCGTCACATAATAGACTGCAACTACCACATAGAATAACAATGAGCTATCAGTTCACCTCACACATAAACAAGCAGACAAACCCCAACCTTCAACAAACAAGCGGCCCTGTCTCACAGACATGCAGTGCAAAGCTTTATCAGAGGGTTGCTACGATTTCATTCATCACATAGAATGTTTTTTTGCATAGCATTTATGTCACGCTGTACAGCCTTGAATGTGTTTGAACTATTAAACAACAGTCAGTTTGGCTGCAAATATTCAACTAATACCTCCTTACTCACCCCCTAATTGTATAGTAAAGGGTGTTGTTTTTGGATTATTGAAAAATGCATTTCTAGTTGATATCCTAGTTTGATATTTAAAAGATCACGTGTCAAATAAAATGTGCTTCTTGATTCTTGAATGTGTGAAACTTGAAGTCACAGTACTTATTTAACACATTTTTTTCCAAACTTCTTTTATATCATTGCAGATTTCATGTATGCAAAGGTCTTTGTGATTAAATCAATGTTTACTCTTAAGCATTTTTTGATATATATTAATTCAGCTTTTGTTTTTTACAACCTCTATGAACATTTGTCTAACTGCTCTACATCAGGAACTTGATTTATTCCAGTATAACAGATGACACCATGAAAACTGCTGCTATTTTTTCTTTTTTTCAAGAGACGTTAACCAAAGATACTTGAGTGAAAATTGCTTTACACAAATTAGTCTGTGCAAAATTGTTCTCAGCAGAGGTGTGTTTAAGATAGCCATTCTGTGGCAGATCGGTGGATGCCTCTGAGAGTGTGAGGAAGGATGTGCTAACAGAGTGTTTCTCACTTCCCTCTCACTTGACAGAGAGGAGATGAAGTCCCTCCAGGCAGCCTTGCAGAAGCAGCTGGATGAGGCAAATGAGAGAGCAGAGAAGCAGCAGGCCACGGTAAGACAGAGCTGACCTGACCATCAACATCCGGTCTCCTCTAACCAGCCCCGTCACCTGTCACACAGGCCCCTCAGTGATCCACGCTCATTATCCAGCAGCCAGCTCACTCGCCTCCTTGCCTCACCGCTTAATTGAAACTCTCAGAAATTGCAAGAGAAAGCTTTGTGTCCGCTCTCCAACTCCCACGCAAAAATTAATAAGAAGAGACAAAGGCATTATAACCTAAGAACATTTACTTATCTATCCATCCATCTCTCCATCTACAGTATCCACCTTTCAATCTGCCCAGCTACACTGCCCCAATAGACTTTCACCTTGCTCCTAATTAAATTCCACACTGGTATCTTAAACACTTTCTGGTGAATAAATTCAATTAACCACTAGCTTTATATTATCTCAGAAAATAGTGAAAAATACGCAACACAATTTCCCAGAGCACACGGTGCTTATATTTTTATGAAAAAATGCCCAAAACCCAAAGATATTACGTTTAAAGAAAACACGCACATCAGCACATTTAAAGAGCTTTAATAAGTCAATGTTTTGCATTTTTACTTTATGGCTAATATGACAACGAGAAAGCATCATTTGGTTATTAAAACAGTCACAGATTAGGTTTCTGTTGAGCAACAAATCAGTTGATCAGCTAATTGTTTCAACTCCAGTTATTTCAGATATAATGATTGGTAAAACTATGGCTTTAGTATGTAAAAATTTCTGCACTAAAACATTCAAAAACTACTAGACCAGTGTTGTATATTTTCTTACATTGTGTAGTTGTATTCTCCCAAACGTTTCCAACAATGTTCAAACCCAGAAAAAAAATCTTTAATTTTAATAAGAGACATGGTCCATGCCAATTGGTCACTGTCAGTGGCATCATATCCCCTTTACGTTATCTGACAGAATGTGTCATAACTTGACCTTTTGTCCAGTTTTAAGCCAAGTTTTACAATACAGTTTGTAGATCTTGGTCGCTTTTTAAAATGACCTTTTAACAGTAGGGATTTAAGTCATCAGACGTCTGGATCCAACGTTATCAGGGAAATAAGCTCAGCAAAAGTAAGCAGGAGAAACACTTGTTTGTTTGTTTTCATGAAACTGCTTTATCCAGTGTTTTTAGCGGTTTAATCAACCTGGTCTCACTCTGAAGTTGTCTAATACTGGCGCTTGGTCAGTGACTTCTGGCACCAGACACTGACGAGAAAAGCCGTCCTTTCACGTCAGCGTGATACACGGCTGGTTGTCTAACTGTGCCCAGCGGCATCATCGGGAATTGCGATGGGACAACAACGTTGGTTAAGGGGGTGAAAGTCTGACTAGGGCAGGTGGGAGGGATGGTGGATGGGTCCAGCAACCTACGACTATCACCTGGAGGCCGGTGTTCATTTGCCATAAGATTGTAAAGCCTAAAAACACTAAAGGAATCCTAACTTGGACAAACTGACCTTAAAGACAACACTGCCCCACCTTTTGTTATTGTTTTGATTGTGCAGCGGCAGAATAATGTCATGTTGTACGTTTAAATATTATGTATGCAGATGATACTCTGCTCATAATTGTACAAAGTATACGTAGTTAGGTTGCAAAATGTGTATGACTCGTTCAAAAGAGTAATTCCAACTAAATGGCAAAGTGGAATATAATAAGATGAGTTTGAAAGCCGTGTGTCTCTGTACAAGGCTCGAGCTGAAACAAATGAATCAAATTAAATTACCACTGTGTCCTCCCTGACCAACATTTTTCATGGTCACAGCATATTGACTGTTTTACAAAGCAAATGGGAAGAGGCATTCAGTGTCAACAGGAAATATTACCTTTGCTCACTGTAGTAATTATGACAAAAAGAATTAATTAGTGACTGTAGTTCAACTTACAAAGACCACAGCTGATTAAAAGCACTTTAACCTTTTAATTAGCTGAGGTACGTCTGCTGGACTGGTCCTTTGCTGTCAGTACCAGGGACACTGAGGCAAGTGGATTGAGTTACTTGACAGTATCACACAAAGAATACATCCACATCCCATTGTGTCATCATGTGATCTATTGATCTATGATCTGTTGCGATACTGTAAGCAAGGTGTTAGATGAATTTTTAATCTAATTTTGGAAAAACTTTCATAATATGAAGGCAGTAGACACACGATCCACATTTTAGTTGACCAGATGTTAAAACTTTTTTTTTTTTTTTTAAATTTTAAATTCGGTGAATAGGTTACCAATTTTTACAATTGGAGAATATAAGAATCACTTAAGACCTACAACGGTGATAATCTAAATTTAAAAAAAAAACAAAAAAAAAAAACTCTTGTTCATATCATTTTTTTGTCAGGGCCGTAGGGGGCCACTTGAAATGGGCAAAAGAGCCTCATGTAGCTTCAGAGCCCCAGAAGCCTGTTCTAGGAAGTCAGTTCAACTTACCCAGGATATTATTTTTAATAGCTGATTTGACTAACCCTAGTCTGAGTAGGTGGAAATTTGCTGCATAGATCAGCCTCTCACTGGGCGGAACGAGCCACCCGCTGAAGTCCCGCCCTACCACCTCCGGTTGTGTAGCAGTTTTCAACCGTTTTCAACACGTCCTTTACTAACTTTTGCAGTGTTTGATCTTGCGGGATGTAGCCATTTTTCTGCCATGGTTCGCGTCCTGTAGGCGATATTTTTGTGGGCATGTTACACCAAAACCTGTTTCCCCCTGGCAATATTTTTGCAAGCGCACCGTTGCTGTGGCACCGCCCACAACGATTGTGATTGGTTGAAAGAAATACAAGCAGCCGGGGCGTTTTTTTCTCCAATCTTAAAGTGAGAGTTGGCCCAGCCAGACCTTTCTTTTCTTGAGAAAGGTCTGGTGAGCGAGACTAGACTAACCCTAACATTGGCCATCTGGATAACCGGTAGTACAAAGCTGGTTATCAACTAGTTCACTCAACTCTTTGTTTTCCTATCCAGCCACAAGTGTGTGTATGTGAAAGAAGTGGGCGTGTTAATTACGAGCGACATCATCAGAGCCACGGATGAAGTAGGCTGCTTCATATTATATGAGATGAAATGGTACAGAAAGTGTCTGAGACTGTGAGACAGTAAAATATCAGTAACAGGATGTAAACGATACGAACGGAAAACGCAGAGTTGACCATGACTTAAATTACATGCAAGTTTCACCATGCTATATGTGACATTAGTATATAGCAGGCTATATTTTTTGCTATTTAGTTGGAAGATGATAAAACTACTCTAAATATGTCGCATAAAACACTTTAAAGTAACACTAGACTGTTTCTGCTACTGAAGTAAAGAGTGGAAAACTAGCCTATTTAATGAGTGATGCGGTCTATCTGACCAAAATGTTGTATTTATAATAACGAGAGCCAATTAACAGTGTGAGGATTATTTTTCTAATAAAATTATCTTGTTTTTTTAGTTCTCATCACACAGGTGTCTCATGGTCTATTTTGAGCTGCAGTGATGGAATCAGAGTGTAAAATAGCAACACTATCACTGCAGACTAAAGTAAACTTTGCACAAGTTAAAATCATGTGTTTAGTGTGTGAACGATCTCTGTTTGTTAGGAGCGCTGTTTTAAAACCAGTGGAAGTAGAGCCCTGAAACAATAAAATGATTCTGCTGAACAATATATAGGCTCCTCTTTTTGACCTGAGACTTGAGACTTTTGTCCATGGATACTTTTTATCTTTAGTGATATGACTGGTGAGAGGTCGGGATGTTGACAGGCTGTGATTCGATACTCTGAATGCTCCAGAGCAGGTTAGCTGTTAAGCATCAGTTGCCACAGTGATTTATCCCAGTAAAAAGAGAACCAGCTTCGTAGGACTGAAAGAAACCCTGAAGTTACCTCGCTAACTCGTAGTATAGGCCTCTGGTGTATGAAAATAAAAAAACATAAAAGTGCCTGCATGATTTGTTTGGTAAACAAATTCAAAAAATAAAAAAGGTAAACAATTAAAAATTGATCATGTTTTTGAGAATCGATACAGAATCACAAAATCTGGCTATACTCAAGTGCATCTACATTTTTCTTACACCCCTTACTATTCATCTCACATATCTAAAACTCTTGTAAGCCACAAATATTAATTTGTAATTAAATATCTGTCCTTATTTGACTGCGTGGAGCCCAGGGAGACAAGTCGCTGCTGTGATGAAAGCTGATGAAACTGCAAATTAATACAAATAAAACCCAAGAAAATAAACTGTTTTTTAAGGCACTGCTCTGTAAAATGTACCTTTGCATCAAAATGGTACCTTTTTAGCGGACAAACATTTGAAATAACCTGTTGTATAAACTCCACTCCATGACCTCCGGCAGCCTCTTTACCCAAACAGCTGTAACTGCTGTATCTGACTGTATTTTCCCACATTTGTATTCTCATATTATTCAGAGAGACCACCTCTTGTTCTGCAACCAAACTCTGTATCAATGAATCAGCATGAAGCCTGTGTGGCTGCACTGACAGCTACAGTAGCCCCAGAGTTTTTCTAAGATTGAGAAATATATGCTAATGAAAAGCTTTTCCTGTAATACTCTCAGCTTCTGCTGCACAGTCCCAAGGTCTGATGAGCGCTGTGACACGACAATCAACAATCAAATAATCTGAGATAAACAGTGGAGTAACATTTCAAGTGACATTCTTGCCATTTTCCTACGAAGAGTGACAAATCCCGGTCGCAGGGTTTTATAATTCAGGTTTGACATTTATGTTCTGTTAAATGGTATTTATCACCCCACTGAGATTCAAGATAAAAAGAACCACCTCTGTAGCATGCAAATGCCACACACGTTCAACAATACGATAAAATATTGTGTCTGGTTTGGAGTCCTCATGTCCACTTAAAATTGAGTCAGAAAATAGAGCTAAAGCCCCCCCAAAAAGAATCAACATTGAAAATGACAAAGGTATCCTGCCTGTAAAAATGCTAAATATTTTTTGCAGCTTCTATTGTGAAGAAATTCCCCAAAGCACAAACGAAGCAGAAGT